TGTGTGTGTGTGTGTGTGTGTGTGTGTGTGTGTGTGTGTGTGTGTGTATGCACTCTTGCATGTGCAAACACATGCCTAGGACTTGGGCAAAAGTAGGGAAGGGAACAGTGGGAGAATGTTCTGGGTCACAGCTGGAAGGGCCCCTATGGAGCATCCAGCCCACGATTCCCCAAAGCCGGGGAGGATGTCAGACACAGCACTGCATCACTCCGAGACAAGGCAGAGTTCACCCCTCCTACATTTCCTCAGCTCTCTAAAGGAGTCTCTGCTTGGTGTCATACTACTTACTAATTACCCTCTTAAACAACAAGCTGGCTTCAGGCTCTGAGCCTTGGCAGGCCATGGCATCGAGTTAGAGTTTAATAACGTTGCTCTCATTACGTTATTTTTTTGTGAGCTTCTCTTTATGACAAATGATACTGATTTTCTAATCATGTTCATAATATAAAGTTGCCTTTTGAAATAAATTTCAATAAAAAAACTGATTTGATTGAAAGAAAATATCAAATAAATAACAGGATCAGAGGTATATAGATATAAGGCAAAAATCACAGTGGTGGTACCCAAAAGACCAGTATGTGGGACCTGGGCCAACCCCCATTGCTCAGATGCCCAGGGATGGGGAGGGCCTTGCCTAGGGTCAGACACTGAGTCCATGGGAGAACTGGGACCCATTCCTGGGACCTCCCGGATTCCCTGTCTGGTGCTCTTTCTCTTCCTCTGCCGAGAGGCATCTCCTACAACCCACCCGGAACTTACCTGGCCCCAGACGAGCTCTCCTAACCCGATGAATATGCACCACATCCACTGGTCCAGCTGCAGTGGAGAGCAGCTGAATGGCTTCCCCCCAAACTGCACGATCACTATCTGGAGGTCAAAGGGGCGCACAGGGATAGAGAGAGGGAGGGACAGGGAGAAAGAGAGAAGGAGGGAGAGAGTCAGGAGCCAACTCAGGGGTCTGGGCTCTCAGGGCACGGCCAAGGGGCTTTGGCTGCTCACTGCCCACCCTGGCCCAGGTTGGGGTGGGGGCCTGGCTACCTGGATGGCAAAGGTGCCCAGCACGATGGTGCAGAAAATAGGGTTCCGGAAGATGCCATCGAAGACATTGCGCTCGCCGTGGATCTTGCGGGCGTTGATCTCATTGAAGAGCTGCATCATGACGAAGGTGTTGAAGATGATGGTGTAGTGTTCCGAGGGTGGCGAGTGCAGGGGCGCGTTCCTCCCGCTGTCGATCTGGAACATCTTCTCGCCTGCCAAGCCGAGAGGGCAGGAGCAGGGCTGAGGGCCTCGGCTTGGGGGGACTCCGGGCCCTGAGTGGGGGCCTCTTCTGCGCAGCCGAGTGGGTCAGGCAGAGACAGAGGCGGCGCTCTGGATGTTGGGGGGCGGGCGGGCCTGCACTGTTGGGTGGTCCTGAGTGAGTGGAGGGATGACAAAACCCTTTCTTCTCTAGGGGTAAAGGTGCTGGGTGAATCTTATTCCACTTTTCTGTGGAAATCTGATAAAGGTGGAATGCAAGCTCTCCTGTCAGGTGACACTGCTTATTGAAAGTGACCTCCAGTTGACAAACTCATCTGGACTGGGAAGACTGGGAGGACGGGGTGTGAACCAGGAATCCCTGGTGGGAGGCCATGGCCTTGGGTTCCCCTGAAAATGGTGCTTCTTGTAACTGACTGTGACCCTTGCTGAGACCTCCGGAAGCTTCTGGGGCTCTTATAGGAAATATCGATTGCTATGTGGAGGTTGGGGTTTCTAGGCCAGGCTGGCTCCCCCCAGTGGCCTCATTCTCTTGTACCTGAGTTATCACACGATGGGTGGAGAGCAGCCCCCCGGTTTGCTGTGTGGACATGCACTGATGACAGGCTCAGTGCCATTCTACATCTCTTGGCAAAGCTGTGTAAGCTGGTGCCAGGAGGGCTTGTGGGGTTTTCTTAGTGTGAGGTGTCTAGCTGAATCCAAGACCACTGAGAGTAGGTGCTCAAGGAGGGAAGCCAGCAAGTAAACCAGGAACCCTCACCCAGCAGCCTTTTCTCCTAGTTTTGCATTCACATAGCTTCTTCGAAGACTCTAAAGATACTCTTGACAATAGTCCTGCCAACACATCACCTTCCAAATTCATACAAGAGGGCTGCCCTTTGGGGAATAGGATCCATGCCCTACCCACATCTCTACCCTGGACTTTGAGGGCAAGTGCTCGCTGGCATTGAAAGCCCAGCTCCTCACGCGGAGGGGCTCTGCCCAGGCCGGGGACTCCTGGCTGGCCCTGACTCCTCCCTGTGTGACTGTGGGCCCGCCCCTTCCCACTCTGGGACTCTCTGTGACCCAGGGGTAGGCTTTGCCCGCATCATCTCTGAAACACCCAAGGAAACCAGGCCTGGTATCTACTCAGTCTCCCCAGTTCGGGTGCAGGTCGGCTCACCTCTGTGTGCCTCAGGGCACTCCCTGTAATGTGTGGTGGGGCACAGGCACCTGCCCCACTGAGTGCAGGGAAGACCTAAATGAAGCAAGCAGCCTAAAGGAAAATGCTGTGGAAATAGTTGGTGGCTCTGCAGGTGTTTGGTCCCTCCCTGGGGAGGTCTCGGTGAGGATGCCGGCACAGGGCACGGATGAGGTGCAGGAATGGGTCGGAGAAGGGGTCAGAGCCTCAGGCTCCTCCAAGGCAGGTGTGAGGGGCATAAATCAGCACTTGGGCGCCATGTTGCCTAGTGTATACTCAGTGTCTAGAGCTGTCATCAGTGGAAAAGCCCTGGCTTTGGGGTTGGCCAGGCCTGAGACAGGGTCCGGCTCTGCCCAAGACTTGCTATGTGACCTTGAGTGACTCACTTCACCACCCCGGGCCCCTGTGACTTCACTGGCAGACAAGAGGGCAGATGTGAATCCAGAATGCTGGGTCCAGGCCAGGGTGTCCCAGGTGGGCCGGTGGGGGACTCACCAACAAAGAGCAGGGTGAAGATGAGGGTGAGCTGGTAGACGGCATGGCCCAGGATGTTCTTCATCATGGTCCGTGAGATGAGGGGCTTGTTGCGGCCATATGGCTTCCTCAGAAGCAGGGTCTCAGTGGGTGGCTCAGTGGCCAGCGCCAGTGAGGCGAACGTGTCCATGATGAGGTTTACCCAGAGCATCTGCACAGCCTTCAGAGGGGAGTCCTGGAGACAGCAGTGGTGGGGAAGGCTGTCACGGGGGAGGCCGGCCCCACCAGCTGCTACGAAGGGCCAGGTGTGGGCCTCAGGAGCTTGTTGGTGGCGTCTTGAGCCAACTCTGCCCGGTGGGTCTGCCCTCAGCTGGCCTGCCTGCTGGGCTCCTGAACAGACACTCCCCAGGATTGCTGGGCCTTCCCTTCTCTGGAGAACAGCCTAGACCTGCCTACCTGTGTTCTCCCCCAAGGAGAAAATTGAGTCTTCTAGGCATGATGGTCAGCAACTCCCTGCCTTCTGGTAAATTCACCTACTTCCCCACCATGTGCTGTCCGCCCCTTCAGCCCCTGTGGACACATCTCTCCTGGCTAAGGCCAAGCTCTCCCCCGTCTCCAGCGTAGATCCCATCTGCTCAGCCTCCTACTGCTTCCCCCTCCACCATCCATGGCTCTGGTCTCTGCTGTCGCACCAACAGCACCCGTGACCCCTGTCCCCTTGTCGCTACCACCAAGTTCCTTCTTACCTCATTGTCACACTTTAACTTAAGCAATTATTGTGTGTATCTATGATTCCAGAAATAACTTACTCCCATGGTAGAAAATTTGGGCAAGTAGGGAATAGCAGAGGAAGCTAAAACTCATCAGTAATCTTGTCACTTACAGTGACAAGATGTCACGCCATCCACATTCTGGTGTGGATCCTTCCACACCTCTCTCTGGCTGAGACTGGGACCATACAGTCATACCGCTCGGTGCACAATCCTGTCACGTGGGGTACACTGCCTCGAGGAGCTGATCTACTGTCCTCTCCTCCCTTGTACCCACAAGTACCTTGTCCTTGGCAGCCAGACTTTGGCCTTTCCATGTCCCCCAAATCCCTTCCTCCGAGGTCACCAGTACCTTCCTTCTCACCAACTGAGAGATACATTTTCTAGCCTCCTCTCACTGACCTCCCTGCCTTGCTTGGCCACTGTCTCCTCCTGGCCCCTGACCCCACTCTCCTGGCCCTCTTCCACCTCTCTGAGAAAGCTCCTTCTCCCTCTCCCTCAGGGCTCCTCTTGCCCGGTCTTTTAATTCTGTGCCCCCCACGGCCCCTTCCTCAGCCCCGCTTTCCTCTCCACACCTGTCCCCCTGGCTGGTGGCGCCCACCTCTCCCTAGCATCACCCTCTCTACAGCCCAGACCTCCCCTTCTGGTGTTAGCTTCATCCACGGTGGAACACCTCCTTCAGGAAGCCCACCTACCCGGTAAGCCTAATAGCCTAAACTGAACAGTTCTTCACTCCTCTATCATTTCTCAGTGCAGCCCCTGAGGCCCACTCTGCCTGTACCCCATACTCACTCACCTCCTAGATGCATCAGAACCCCTTCCTCCAGGCCGCCTCTCCCAGCTGTGCCCTGGAGCAGCCACCTTCCCCATGTCCTGAGGCTTTTTCCTGCTCATCAGCCTTCTCTGTTTACATGTGCTTCAGGGTCGGGGGCCCCCCATCTCCCCACCAAGGCCTACATGGCCCTACCACCAACTCAATCTAAAGCCTTAGGCAAACTGGTAGTCAGTCCTCTTTGAACCTGTTTCCCCATCTGGCATCAGTGGGGTCCCCAGGAAGCCTTGCAGGAGTGGCTGTGCCGCGGGAGTGTTCCACGAGCCACCACTAGAAGGAGTCTCTCGCCCACAAAACAGGAGAGGGCCCTTTCTGCAGAAGGGACCCACCAGCCACCTCCCAGCTCTGACTCTCAGGAGAGGGTACTGGGTGCTGCCACATGCAACCCCAGGGGCTCAGAATGCAGCAGAGGGGTGCAGCATTCCTAAGGCCACAAAGCACTCCGGGGCAGTGCTGCGTTTTGGGCCTGTGGGGGCTCCTCTCTGTGGGCAGGAGCTTGTCTACCCATGTGATTGCCAGGAGGCGTTGGAATACTGGACCTTTCCTCCCCAGGCCAGGCTGGTCAGCCCCTAGGGGGAGGCAGGAGGCTGCAGGAACAATGGTAGTTCCTGGCTGGTCCAGCCTCTGAGTCTCAGTTTCTGCTTCTGTAAAATGGGGATCATCAAAATTCCCACCTCATGGGGCTGGGTGAGGAAGCAGTGAGGCTGAAGACATGCAGCCCTGCTGGCTGGCTTCCCCTAAGCTCGGGATGGGGTTGCTCATGACCCAGATGGTGATCCTGATAGACAACAGCCTCTCCCAGTGACAAGGAGCCCCAACCTGGCCTCAGGGCCCCAGGCAAACAGGCCTCTCCTGTCACACTCCTGCCCCCAGGGCCCTGCTGGTTCCTTGCTCCCAGCTGGTTGCCTGACCTCCCTTGGGCCCTGCCCTGCCCCTGCCTCCCTCTGAGGGCTCTGCCTTCCTTCCAGGATAACCTCTTCTGCCTCCCGGAGCGAGGACCAGGTCAGGCAGCCATGGGGGTGAGCCTTGACATCTCCCATTTGCCAGATGACCTTGGGCCAGGCCCCCACCTTGCTGAGCTTTGTTTCCTCAGGCTGGTGCCTGCACCTGAGGTCTGTGATGCAACTCCTGGCCCTTGGCAGGGGCTCCCCCAGGCTTTGGCATGCCCCATCCTGCCCCCCCCCCCCCCCCCCCCAGGCCCCCCCCCCGTGACGCAGGCACCCGTGAAGGCCACGATCACAGCCACCACGTTGACCGTCAGCTGGAACTGCAGGAATTTGGAGATGCTGTCATAGACGTTGCGGCCCCACATCACAGCCTTGACGATGCTGCTGAAGTTGTCATCCGTTAGGATGATGTCTGAGGCCTCCTTGGCCACGTCCGTGCCTGCGATGCCCTGTGGGGACAGGAGCCTGTGTGGGGCGGCTCGGGGGTGGTGAGCAGCTCGAGCAACACTGTTCTCATCCCCTGCACATCCTCAGTCCTATACAACCCCCCACATGCCTCCTCCCAATTGCCCAGCTGGGCCAGACCGCACAGCGGGTGTGTGCGTGTACTCCTCACAGACCCGGCCCCTGAGGCCAACTCTGCCTTCCGGAAGCCTTTCCCTGGCCCATCCTCCCCCACACCCATCATGGCAGGGAGCCCTCTTCCACCCTTCCAGGAAGACCCCAGGGGGCCAGGCTGAGCCTTGAGAGCACTGGGCACATGAGGTAGATGGTGGGTGAGCTGAGTGTGAAACAGGGGTCCCCGCACAGCCAGTTCGAGGCTGAGTTGCCCACACCCCCTGCCTATGAGCTCTTGCCAGGCACCACCCCGGGGCCCGCGGCGAGCTGTCCCTACCATGGCGAAGCCCACGTCCGCCTTCTTGAGTGCAGGCCCGTCGTTGGTGCCATCCCCGGTCACAGCCACCACCTGGCGCTGCTCAGTGTGTGTGCTATCGATGATGCCTGTGGGGTGGGGCACGAGTGTGCTCAGGGCCCCGGGGACACTCCGTGGGGCAGAGGCAGCTGGGCCGGCCCTGATGGTCTGGAGGACTCCCGGCCGGGCCCAGCCTCCTCTCCGGCCCCTGCCCTGCCCCCTCTCCCCCTCCTCTTGCTGTGACTCTTCCCAGCTCCAGGCTTGCCCACTGCTGCCGACACCTGCAGGGCATGTTGGGCACCTGAGCCCCGTGCTGGCCCTCTGTGGTCTGGGCCCCGACAGCCTCTCCAGCACACTCTTCCCTCTCTGTAGCCCTTGGCCACACCGGTGGCCACCCCAGCTGGAAACACCTCCCCCTCTGCCTGGGTTCCAGGAGCTCCTCTGTTCTCCCACCATCTGCTCCCTCAGCACCTTCTACCTGGGAGTCCATTCGCTCCTGAGGAGGCCTGGGCTGTGCCATTTGCCAACGACCCCTGACCCATCACCTGGCCTTGACCTCTCTCCAGACATTCACCCGCAATAAAATATTCAGGGGCGCCTGGGTGGCTGGGTCCGTTTAGTGTCTGCCTTCGGCTCAGGTCGTGATCCTGGGGTCCTGGGATGGAGCCCCGTGTCAGGCTCCCTGCTCCGCGGGGAGTCTGCTTCTCCCATCCCCCACCCCCATCTCTCTCTTGTTCTCTCTCTCAAATAAATAAAATCTTAAAAAAAGAATAAAAAATAAATAAAAAGAAAAGATTCAACAAGTAAAATAAAGAGATGGTATGTAGCCCTGTCACCGAGCTGGGGCCAGTGGAAAGGGCGGGTGAAAGATGTCACCATTGGACACATGTGGAGTTTGATAAGATATGTCCATGGACAGGACAGAAATTTGAATGTCACTCTTGGCATGTCCCTCTCTCATCCTGCACCTCACGTCCATCACCAAGGCCTGCAGATTCTGCTCCAAGATCCTACGGGAACCATTTCACTTTTCTCTGTCCCCACCCCCTCTGCCACTAGCATGCCCCCTGCTCCCCACCAACCCCAGGCTACCTGTTCACTCTGCATAGCAACGCCTGGCTTTCTCTCGAACCCCCAGGACTGACCTGTCCCCTCCCCCAAGCTGAGAGTCATTCTCTCACTACCCACACTGGTCTCAGGGTGACATCCACGTTCTTAGCTCCATTCAGAAATTTCGAAGTCCCTGGTGGTCAGGCCTCACTCATTCTCTGATCGTCTCTCCTCTCATCCCTGGCCGCCCCCAATCTGTGCTCCAGTCATAGGAAAGGCTCTCCGTCTGCAACGCCGGCTCCCTCGTCCCTGTCTGCCCGGGCTGTCCCCAACCAGCTGTGCCTGTCCCGCACCTGTAGTCTAGCTCAGATGCCACGCCCCCTGGGGAAAGTGACTCTCTGAGGACGCTCACCCACCCTCATCAGATCACCGTAGCTCCCGTACGTGTCCCTCCCTGTCCTGTCCTGGCAAGCAGCAGCCCGTGGGATGAGGGAATGGGACCCCCGACTTGAGAAGCCTTTGTAGCCGCCAACCACTCCCCCAGCCCTTGGCATGTGTTCAAGTTCCACCCTCTTCAGGTCCAGCTCCAAGGCCATGTGCTCTGGGAGTCATCCCGGGCTGCTCCCCCCAGCTGGTGGCAGTCCAAGTCCCCAGCCAAGACTCAGCCTCCAGCCTCTGTCTACTAGGCATTTGTTGCCTTCGTTACTGCCGGGTCCCTCCGCCTGCCTACATGCTCCTCCAGAGCAGGGAGGGGGCCAAATTTTACTCCTGCCTGGCCAAGTGAGCTGCTTTCCACTTCTTGAAGGTATCTGGAAGTCTTTGCCTCTGGTCTTTCACAGTGCAGTTCTCTGCCCTGCCCGAAACACAGGCCCTTTTTCTGGGACCCTCAACCCACCTTTGATGGCCTGTGATGTGACATCCATCCCCAGCCTGAGTGAGACGCCAATAGAGGGCCCCACCCTTCTCTTCCACTGATACAGCCTCTAGGTCTGTGCAAGGAAACCTATTTAATGTCTGCTGGATGGAATCTGGACGATGAATTTCAAGAGGGAAGGACTATGTCTGCCAAGAGCTGGGCCTGGCACTTAGTAGATCCTTCAAAAACACATATCAAGAGAATGAGTAAACAAATGAGTGAGTGATTGAAAAAGAAATGGGGATAGGTTGGGGCCTCCTGCTCTGGTATCTGTGATTCTGGGGCGCTGTGTTTCTGTCCCCAAGCCAGATCTGCCTCTATTAATGTCCTTGGGCAACATTTTGGGAGAGGAATCCAAGATGCCCTAGGGATGACCTCAGCCAGAAACCTGCCCTTCTATGGCCATTTTAAAGATGGAGGAATTGAGTCCCAGAAGAGGAGGGACTTGCCCAACGGTATAGAACAGGTTAGTGGCTGAGCCAGGACTTGAAGCCAGGGCTGTATGACTCTAAAAGGGCCCAGCACCTGGCCACCGACATGGGCTCAAACAAGTGGTATGCCCTCTCTCTTGAGGAAGACAGGGAAGGAGAAGGATGCTAGCCTTTGGCCTCATCTCTCAGGCTGCTATTCCCAGGATGGCCCACCTTTGGGGTCCCCGTTACAGGTGTTGGTTGGGGTCCTCAGAGACCAGGCCACCCAAGGATCTCAAACTCACAAGCTCTGGGGCCAGACTGAGAACATGAGTGAAGTGGGCTGGATGGCAGGCAATAAGGAGTGGTGAAGACTGATTCAAATGTGAGGGAAGAGTCTGTATAAAGCCACCCAAATTCAACATAAAAAAGGGCACTATACCAGCCAAATACAACATGTCTGTGGGACCTATTTAACCCTCAGGCTAAGAGTTTTGGACCTAGACAGGCCCAGTCCCATTGCTTCCTAGAAGAAGTGGAACCCAGAGAGAAGACTCACAACCTCCCCATCTCCCTGTGGTCCTTAGAGGGCCTCCCAGGGCTGCAATGGGGTGAGGCAAGGGTGTTGCCAGGTGTGGGGAGCCCTGTGCAAAAGCTCTCTGTCCTGGAAAGAAGCTGCGGGCACCAGGAAAGGAGGAGATCCTAGCCTCAGAACTGCCCCCCAAGTCTTACCTTTGACGAGGGTATGCTTATCCGTGGGGGAGGAGCGAGCCAGCACCCGGAGCTTTGGCCAGATCTTGTCAATTCGCTCCTGTTCAATCTGGAGAGGGATGGGGGAGGGGGTCAGAGAGAGAAACTGAGGCTTGGAGAAGGGAGGGGACTCACCCCAAATCACTGGGCTCTGAGTGGCACACTGGCTGGTCTCTGTACAGTCATGTGGCCCCCATGCCTCCCAGGACCCTTCCCCCCCACCCCCAGCTTATCCCCCTGAGGATTCCTTGTGCTGGGCACGTACCTCCCCCTTCTCGTTGCGGATCCTCCGGTTGAACTCCTTGCCCTCCAGGCACAGAAAGTCCTCCCCAGGATGGATGATGCCACACTTGATGGCGATGGCCCGGGCCGTGTTGATATTGTCACCAGTGACCATGCGGACGGTGATGCCTGCCCGCTGGCACTTGCGGATGGCTTCTGGGACCTGGCGGGAGGGCAGGGGCAATGGGTTTGAGTGCCCCTGGGGCAGGTCCTCACCGCCCTTATGGATTCCAAAGTGAGCCCTGTTCACGGGCAGCACCAGTGGAAGGGGCCTGGATGACCATGAGATACTGATAGCACATATGGCATGTAGACCATATCCTTCCTTCCTGTGTCCATGGCAGGCATTATTAATCGATCACAGAATCTGATGATTAAACCCTGATGTGGCCTCAGAATTCTCAGCAGAGTCCCAGGCAGCTACCACCTAACACTGTGATGGTCCCTTCTAAGATGAAACCACTGGTTATCCTGATCTGGGCAAGGACTTTGAGAAAGACCTCAATAACACCCCAGGCAGGGGTAGAACACTCTACACTTGCAGAGGAATGTGTCCCTGCTTTATCCACATGCACAATTCCTACAAACTCAATGGTAAATATGCTCACGTATTTTCAGGTTTTTTTTTTTTTGTGGGGGTTGGCAGGACACTGCATTTGGGAGGATTTCATTTGCAGAATGTGACACTGGCTTAGAATAAATACAAATGATTATACTTCATGTAAAACAGGACACTGCCATGAGACAGTAAAGACTGCCTCTTGCCCTCCCTGATGTAATGACAGACTGATGTCTGGGCCAATCAGGCCAGAGTAGACCCAGCCAGTCAGAAGGGGGTAAGCACCAACCCCCCCCCCCCCCCCCCCCCGCTCCAATGCAGAGCTGTGGATTTATTTGCCCAGCAATCAGGATGCAGAAACCAGCCTAGAGCTGCTGCAGGCCTTTACACACAACCCAGATCAACTGAACAAGGGATTCTGACCCATGGGCAGTGACCAATGCTAAAATAATAAGGTATTATTTGCTATTTGCTGCAAAACGTCTTTGAGTTGAAGAGGACATATGAAGGGCAGAAAATCTAGTTGTACCAGAGGACCAAAGCACTTTAGCATCTCAGGCTTGGAGAGGCAGAGTCTGACTCCCACTCCTCTTGCATATCATAGTGCCTGGGGAGCTCAGCCCCATTCCCACTCTGCCAAGCCCCTGCTGAGAGGGTCTGCAGACTGTTATGGGCTGAACTGTGGCCATCTCACCCCCCCACCCGCCCAAATACATTTAAGTCTTAACCCCCACTGCCTGTGAATGTGACCTTACTGGGAGATAGGGTGTTTATAGAGGTAATCAAGTTGAGGTCGGTAGGGTGGCCCTTGACCAATGTGACTGGGGTTTTTATGAAGAGGGGAAATTTGGACCCAGACACGCAATCAGGGAGAATGTCACGTGAAGAGGAAGGCAGAGACTGGGTGTTGCTGCCACAAGTCAAGGAACGTTGAAGATTCCCAGCAAACCCCCATGACCTTGGGGGGGGGGTGGGCGCTGGGGGTGGGGAGAAGATCTGAAGCAGATTCTCTCTCACAGCCCCCAGAAGAAACCAACCCTGCCAACACCAAGATCTTGGACTTCCAGCCTCCAGAACTGTGAGCCAGTCCAGTTCTGTTGCTGGGGGCCCCCAGTCTGTGCTACTTTGTTATGGTGGCCCCAACAAACTCATATGAAGAAGTAGAACATTGGTTCAAAACCTGACTGTGGACAGCTCCTGCCCACTGGTCCCCTCCTGCCCTTAGGAATTTTAAAAACAAGGATTGATCTTGAAAATCTTTAGCCTCTGTCCTCCCCCATGCACAGCACCTGTTGTTCCTTCAGCACAGAGCACCACGTTCCAAGCTGGGGTCACTGCCCAGCCCCTCCTCAATCTCCCTGCCTCCGGCCTTGCCCCTCTTCCATCGTTCTCCTACCTGACCACCAGCGACCTGCCTAAAGTTCCGCCTGGGTACCACTCTCCTTCAGGGGCTCCCCCCTGCTGCTTGTAGAGAAAATCAAGACTCCTGAGCACCGTCATCTTGTGGCAGAGCAAGGAACAAATGCTGGGAAGAGGCCAAGGTCAGGAGGCCCCTCCAGCTCCCAGAATGGTATTAGAGACCAGCTCTGTGGTGACAGGTAGTGATCTCCTCATCCCCAGGGCTGGAGCAGGGTAGGCTGACCACAGGTCTCCTCTGGGTGCATTTCCAGGGCCCAGGGACGAGGCTTCTCATGCCCCTCAGGGCTTGGGGGCCACGTGAGCAAGGCCTCTGCCTCGTGCCACAGCGGCGGCTCACCCAGGCGAACGTGACCTCTTTGTACAGAGCCAGAGGGAGCGGGGATGTGGAATGTCCAAACATCCTGCTTACATAATTTATCGATGTCCTCCCCATGGCTGTAACCCGGATGGCAGCCCCCTGCTGTCTCCTGTTCCAGGGGAAAGGAAAGAACCACTGCTCTTTAGGGTACCTACACCTTATCTGGCTCCTGCTTTCAAAGGAATAATTCAGGTTATATTTGATTCAAGATGCCTGGGGTCTTGGAGTTGGAAGGGGCTTCAGGTCATGACTCTCTGACTCTGCTCGTTGCCCAGATCTCCGGCTAGGCATCCCACAGATGGCCAGCCAGCCTCTGCTTGCAGGCTTCTGATGATGGGGTGCTCACTCCCTCCAAGGCTGACCACTCCACAGTGGAACAAGTCTACCATACCCTTTCACATAATCATTCTTCTTTCAGATGAGAGCAGGTGCTCTTGGTCTGACTGGTACTCTTGTAGGAGGCAGGGGCTTTGGTAAAGATCTCTGTACAAAGGGCTCTGGGAGCACAGAGGAAGGTGCCATTCCTTCAGAAGGAAGTAGATGGAGAGGAGAAATCTGGGAAAGCTTCCTGGAGAAGGGGATGTTTGAGCTGCTTTTATTCAGCCAACACTAACTGAGGCTCTGGCACCTGGCACTGTGCCCAGGCTGGGGCTACACAGATGACCACTTCACTGTGGCCTGGGCTACAGAGAATTGTCCCATGAGATGCACTGGCAGAGAAGTTGGGAAGGGTGCTGTAGGAAGAGTGTGACAGGTGATCTGGAGGAGCTGAGGCTGAGGAGGATGTGAGGCAGGAGCCAGTGGCCATGAAGCTGGAGAAGGGCCTGAGGTCAGAAGGTGCTGGAATCAGGGGCTTGGTACCAGGCCTGGGGGCCATGGTTAAGTTCTGAACTGGGGACAAGGTATCTAGCACCGTGTTTTAGAAAGACTTAACACTTTCAAGGCTGTCTCAGGGAGCCGAAATCTGCCTGTTTGGAATCCCCACCCTCTGGGGTTCCCCAAAACAAGCTGGCTTGGGGAGAAAAAGGAGGCAGCTAATTTTTCTGGCCCCCACACTTTCCTCTGTGTGGTGGAGGCTTCTCTGCCCTTGGGGGAGAGGGCTCAGGGGCCAAAAGGCTGGGTTGGGCTTTGCCCTCGGGATCCACCTGAGTGTTGGCTTCCTCACCTATAAAGTGGGGATGATAGTCTGTACCCCTCAGCGAGGCTGGGCGACGCTGTGATGGGGGCAAAGGGTACCAGGCACGGGGACAATAGATGCTGGTGGTGGGGGATAGGGTGCCTGGCAATGCACCTGACCATGGTCTTCTGTGCTTGTTCTTTCTGCTCCCGGAGATGGGGAGGGATGTTGAGGGTACAGAGGCAGATGCAGTGGGGGGTGGGGCACAGCTGTCGTCTGGGGACAGGGAGGGGCAGCCGTTTGTTTGGGGTGGTGGGATGGTGTGGGCCCACCACCATGATTCCTGAGTTAAGTACCTTAGAGGCCTGTGACCTACCTGTGGGGGGATTCCAGATGGACCTGGACACATCCGAGAGCCTCCTCGGCCACTTTTCTGGGCAGTGGGCCCTGTAACTGGACGTCTTTGTTGTACTTCAGTCTGGCTTTACACTCACATGTGCTATGGTTCTGCTTACTCCTCCCCTTTCACTGGACATTTCATTAGGCTGTGGGCTCCGGAAGGCAGGGACCGCCAACTGCTCAGGACCCATCCAGGGGCCAGGCACAGGGCACATGGGTCATCATGAAACATCTCTCTGCTTAAGTCCCTCAAAGCCTGGTGAATGGATTTGGATGCGGACATGCCAACCCTTCACAATTTAGCTCCAGGCTCCCCTCCTACCCATTTCTCTCATAAATCCAACAGGGATATTCACTAGACCCTCACCCATCTGCATTTGCCTGCGCTGTTCCCTCTGCCTAGAATATCCTCTCTCCTGTAATCTGGGAGTCTCCTCCTCTTTCAGGTGAAATGCCCTCTACTCATAAAGCCATTCTGGATTCCTCCAACCCAATGGGGTGCTTCCTTAAACTGCACTCTGCATTTCCTTGTATTGCTCACTCGTTCATTCGTTTGACAAACAGCTACTGAACATCCAACTGCTCTGGGCACTGAGGATCCAGAGATGATTAAGACTCAAGCCACAGAGGCACCGATCTGGTTGAAATATACTTTCCACATAGACAAAATAGCTGTAAAATTAAAAAAAAAATTCCTTCTTTTGCTAAAATTATCCAAGAGTTTTCTCACAGAGGAAAAATAGCCAGAAAATGGGCGCTTCCTGTTTTCATTAAATAAAGGCTTTTAAACATCTGTTGTTTCTGGTGACACCCGTTGTCTGTGACTCCAAGGGCTCTAAACACCCCCGGATAACCCTGCAAATCCCAGACTGCTGCTCTTCTCATGGCTTTATCCACAGTGGCTTCAATCAGTGTCGGAAAATGTACCCGTACCCGAGGTAGCATCTTATATTTGTCTGGGGGGTGACTGGCAAGCCTGTTTTGATCTGTTCCGTCTTCTATCTTCTCATGGGAGGAAGACAACGTGATTTGTCCCCTTGACAGATGGGAAAACTGAGGGAGGTAGTTTGTGTTCCAGTGGCAGTTGCAAAAGGAATCTGAAAATGTTTGTAGGACCCTAGAGGTGGCCCAGGCTGAGGCTTCTGCTCCGGCCAGCCTCAGGGTTGCCTGGGAGAGCCTGCCCAAAACCATAGGCATAGACACTCCCCTAAGGTCACCCAAGAAGCTGGTGATGGTGGCTGCCTGTGAGGCGGGAACCAGAGGCCTGGGGGTGGCATGGGAGGCTACTTCATCTTGTCGGTGTTATTGGACCATTGGAATTTGGCTCCCTGTGTATAAATCCCCCAGCTTAAAACCCAAATAAATCAAAAGCCATCCCCACCCTACTGGGACATCCTGAATCAACACGTCAGAGCTTTGGGCGCCTGGGTGGCTCAGTTGTTAAGCGTCTGCCTTCGGCTCGGGTCATGATCCCAGGGTGTTCGGATCGAGCCCCGCATCGGGCTCCCTGCTCGGCAGGGAGCCTGCGTCTCCCTCTCCCACTCCCCCTGCTTGTGTTCCTGCTCTCGCTGTGTCTCTCTCTGTCAAATACATAAATAAAATCTTTAAAACAGGTCAGAGCTTTTATACTTTCAAGCAGTGTCACCAGCAACCCTGCTGGTGTCCCTCACTTGGGAATGTCCAACTCTTCATTATTCGGATGGGGAAACGTAGACCCAGGGAAGAGATGCACCTGAAGTCTCTCTGTGAGGGAGTGTCAGGAGTGGGGTGAGAACCCGTGTCCCTTGACCCTGCTTTGTCACCCTAGTAAGTCCCTGCTCCCCAACACGGCTTACAACATCAAAAATCTACATCCTGGGGGAGAGCCCAGGGGAGAGAGGAGGTCACCATCAAGGATGCGCTCACTTGACGGAAGCAAAGAAAGTCAGGGAAAGCTTTCCCATCAGCCAGCTCAGAATGTTGGAGCTTGGCAGGGACCTGAGGGGCATCTGGGCCAAGCTTCCATTTTACAGATCAGAAGACCAAGGTACAGAGAGGGGAAGTGGCTTGTGAGTGGCAGAGTTGGGGCTTGGATCCAGGCCCCCTTTCTCCAATGTAGGGCCCTCCAGGATGAAAGTGCTCCCAGCCCTGCTGGGAGTCTTTGCCTGAAGCCAGCTTCTCTGGATAATCATGCTGTTAGTGGAACATGCCAGGGACCCAGCTAAGGCCTTCCCAGGCCCTGTCCTCCCTCTCTTCACCCTCCTGACTTAGAACCACTTGCCCTTTCATTTCTGTGGCACCCAGGAGCAGGGCCTGGGGCAGGAAGGTGGAAAACCTGTTCTAATCTGGATTTGCTCAGCCACTTACAGCGAGACTTGGGGAACATCACTGTCCCTGCTTGGCCTCAGTGTTTTCACCTGCACACTGGGGCCGTGGGGAAGCACTTGGTCTCGGTCAGCAGTGCTCAATCCTGCAGTCATGCCCCTTTAGTGGATTGTCAAATCAGTTTAGCGGGTGGTGACTAGCATTAAAAAAAAAGCAAGAGATAGAAGAAAATAGAAAATACAAGCGCATCACATTACTTTGTGACATCCTTATTTTGGTTACGTGTATGTGCTTACTGAGTCATGGTATAAAATACATTTGTTATTAGCACAGGTCATGACCAGAAAAAGTATGTGTCTGCTGCTGCTTCCCACCCCACCTCGGGGATACTTCTGAGGCATAGAGTGATAGGCTAGGAGCTCTGGGAATGAGCCGCAGGCTGGCCTCATCTGCTATGTGGAGACTGTAAGGAGATAAACTGTCATGGGAAGGCTTAGCCCATTAGCGGCTGGTAATAAGCAGGCATCCCATGGGGAGACTGATAAATGGCCTGTCCATCCAGGGGGAGACACAGTCTGCAGGAAAACACATATGGCTCCAGGGCCAAGCACCTGGGGACAAATTGCCTTGGCTGCTTTAGGCTCTGGGTGGGAGTGAGGAGGCCTGTGGGGGCCTCTGGAGGTGTGAGAGATGAGTACCAGGCATAGTACTGGAAGACTGGTGTTCAAGTCCCGTTCATTCTCATTCATTCATTCCACACTTAAATGAGCACCTTCCATAGGCCAGGCTGTGTGTTAGGGGCTGTTACGTGTCACTGGATCCAGAGTTATGAATCTACTGGGGAGGGGCACAGAGGAAGGGGAGCCACATTTAAGGGCCACTTACCTCCTGTCTGACACTGCCTGTTCCTTGTATGTGCACGATCTGTCATGCACATGATACCTCATAGTATCCTGGGGTGTGTGTGAGTGGAGAATACTATTATTATCCCCAGTCTACAGATGAGGAAACAGAGGCTCAGAAGGTTATGTAACTGGCCCAGGGTCACACAGCCAGTAATGCTGGGACTCAGGATCCCAGGTCTGTCTGATGCCTGAGCTCACACTCCTGACGATGCTTCTCCTTGCTGCTAAAACGTGAAAGTCCATGTCCGTGACATTCTAGTCTCACTTGGTCTTTGGAACACAGACTCTTAGAATATCAGGGCTGGGAATTTGGAAAACCCCCTGTCTATCCCTTTCCACTGGAAAAAAGGGGAAATGGAGGCTCCATGAGGAGCAGGGAACAGCAAGCGGCCCCTAGGGAATGGTGTCAGGGCAGGTGGGGAACAATGAAGTTGCTTCCGGTAGAGGAAGGCGGTCCTGAGAGGCCCCATCACCAAATTCCACGGCCGGGGCCAACGTGGGCCCAGTCCCTGCCGGCCTGGGCGTCAGCTGTGGGCCCAGCAGCTGGGTTAGTCCTCCGATGACGTGGAGGCCGGCCTCTCCTGGGCTCTGCTCTCTGGGGCTCCCCAGGGTGAGGACTCACTCTCCCTGCCCACAGCAATGTTTTGGAGATTCAAGGCAGCCCTCTCTTCTTCCTACAGCCTCTCCAGCCTGGGCAGTCTGACTGAGCACCCATGTCCATTCTCCCCCAACCCTGCCAATCCCCAGCACTGAATTCTGTCTTCCTGCTGGATGCAGACGCAGCTAAAGGAGACTGAAGACCTGTGTGAACTGAGCACTCCATTAGGTGCATTTACTACATCACCTTTCTTGGTCCTTCCGGGTAGGGGTGCTGTCATCCCTCTTCTCTTCTGCCTGAGAGTCTGACCTTTGGCTAACTTTCTAGCTCTGTGCCCCTGGAGACCTGACAAAGCGAGACTATAGGCTGCGTCACTGTGCAAGCCTGCTAGGGTAAACTGATTGGGAAACTGGATCTGAAAGGACAGATCTCTACCTGCTGATGTGACATCACACTGGGGGTTTTCCTGAATACCGGTGACCTTAGTTTCTGGGTCTCTCCTTTATGGGGACCCTGGAACCTAGGCCTATGGATATGTTATAGGAGATCCTGGCTCCTGTGGGGCAAGAGGCTTCTAAGGCAGGGCAGCCCCCATGCTTGTCCCTTGGGAACACGGGGAGGTTTCTGGATGCTTGAGTGGATGGCTCTAGGGCTGCTCCCATGGCAAAGCAATGCCTGCTGTCAGGCTGCCCGATGTCCTGAGCAGACTGATGCCAAGCGTGGCCTACGCTGGTCTTATGAGTTTGAGCGTTTAGGAGTAGGTAAAGAGAAAACCTCGTAGATGCTACAGGGAAACTGAGGCTCAGAGAGGTGAGGCAACTTAAGCTAGCTTGCCAGCAGACCGGACTCCCAGCCTCTCCAAGCCTGCTGGTAGGGGGCTTACCTCGGGCCGCACGGGGTCCTCAATGCCCACCACGCAGATGCAGGTTAGGTCATTGAGGATGTCATTCTCATTGTCCCAGTCGGGCTCAGGGCTGCTGGGGAAGTCGCGGTAGGCCACACAGATGGTTCGGAGCCCATCGCAGGCCATGGGCTCGATCACCTTCTTCACCATCTCGTCCCGGTCGCGGGGCCGGAAGACGCGGGGCTCCCCTGCCCCGTTGAGGATTTTGCAGCACCTGGGGGCGGATGGGAGGGAGATGGGTAAAGTCCAGCCAAGGGCCCAAGGATCCTCCCTCTGACCAGCTCGCGCTCACCTCCCCCTCCCCAGTGATGCCCAGCTGGCCATGGTTGGTCATCCAGTGTCTGCCCAGTTCGTCTCCCATAATGCTTCAGGGCTGGTCCAGGCCCCTGGGCCCCAGGCAGGGATGAAATCAGGACCAGCCAAAAAGAAATCAGGCAGCCTTCTTGCAATATCTGCCCCAGTCCATTCAGCAAGAGCACATCTAGTTTGATCTGTCTTATATTCACAAGATTTCATCTGAAAAAACAGTTCCACAGCTAAAATGGTTTTCAAAGGTCATGAAATCCAGGCTAGTGGTTCTGGACCTTGCTTGCACATTAGAATGGCTTGGGGGGGAACACCGAATAAATAAATACCCAAAGGTTCCAATTTATGTGTGAGCCCTACCCCAAAGGTTCCAATTTATTTGTATTATTTTTTGGGGGGGGAGGGGCAGACAGAGAGAGAACCTCTCTCTTCAACAGGCTCCACGCCCAGTGCAGAGCCCAACACAGGGCTCGATCTTACCACCCTGAGATCATGACCTGAGCTGAAATCAAGAGTCGGACGCTTAAGTGTCCGAGCCACCCAGGTGCCCTGTATCAGTGGTTTTTTAAAAGTTCCCTGGGGTGATTCCAATATGTAGCCAGAGTTGAGAACCACTGGGCTAGACCAATCCCATCAAGGTATGAGTGGGGAAACTGAGGTTCAGAGGCCGGGAATGACTTGCTTAGATCTCCAGGCTTATCTCTGGCACCTGGAGCCAGAGTAGACTGGCTAATACCGAACATCACTATGGTCAACCATCACCGTGCTAAGGGAAGTGAAATAAGGGAGATTTAACAGTGACACTGGGTGGAACGTCCTGGTGATTCAGTGATGTAGGGAGGAGGAAGGGAGGGCTCTCTGTAGAAAGTTTTAAGAGGAAATAGTGGAGAAAGCACCTGGAGGTGGTCCTGCTGTGGAACGTTGGGCAGGGCCTCCCCTGTACCTCTGGGTGCCAGATGACCCTCCAGCCCAGTCTGCAGGACAGCCTGCGCTGCACGACTTGGTGGTCCCCGGCTCCCCGCCCCCCTCCTCCCCTCCCACCTCCCACGTGCAGCTTACTTCTTGAGCACGATCTCAGAAGCGCCCTTGCTGTACATGCGGAAGCTCTCGTCAGGCAGCTTGATGACTGTGCTCATGGACTTGCGCACGGAGTTGAAGGTGTACACCTTGTACAGTTTCTCCTCTGGCATCTGGCTGCGCACGGGCTCGTAGTCCTGCTTCAGGTCCAGCACGAAGCCCAGCAGGCCGCACTCCGTCTTGTTGCCCACTTGCCGAGGCAAGGCACCCTCCTTCTCCGGGGGCTGTGGGGAGAGAGGCCAGGGCGGCTCACAGGGGGTAGCCTCTGAGGCCCCGGGGCCGGGCTGTCCCCTTTTCCCACCACCTGCACCCTCAGCCCTCTCCATCCCAGACCCAATCCTGGCTCTGGATGAAAGGAGTTAAGCAAGATCAGCTTTTTAAAAACTATGAACTCTTTCAAACCTACAAGCCGGATAGAGAATAAGAAAAGAAACACTTATGTACTCTCCATTCAGCTTTGTAGAGCCTGAGCATTATGCCCTATTTGCTTCAGATTTTTCTTCCTTGAGAAGGAAAACATGACAGATAAGGGTGAGTCCCCCTGTATGTCCCTCCCTGTCTGCAGAATCCACCCTTGTCTCAGAAAGAAACTCTGTCTTAAAAGTGGCATGAATTATTACCCTATGTGTGTGGTTTTTTTTTGATTTTTAAAGATTTACTTGTTATCATTTTTTTACTTTAGAGAGAGTGAAAGCAAGAGAACAGGGGTGAGGGGCAGAGAGAGAGGGAGAGAAAGAATCTTAAGCAGGCTCCACGCCCAGTGAGGAGCCCATCGTGGAGCTCGATCTCAAGACCCTGAGATCATGACCTGAGCTGAAACCAAGAGTCGGATGCTTAACTGACTGAGTTATCCAGGAGCCCCTACCCTGTGGGTGTTTTAAATTTTTATTTTGAGCTAGTTCTAGACTGACATGCAATAAGAAATAGTACAGAGAGATGGCACACACCCTTCATCCAGATTCCCCTAGTGCTCACCTGTGTGACTTGCTCATGGTCACAGACCTGCAGAGGGGCAGCCCTGGGGCTGTCCCCAAGCCCCCTGGCTCCCAGTGCAGACCAGGTTCCCCTAGTGCTCACCTGTGTGACTACAGTACATCGCAGCCAAGATACGGACACTGAGGCAATCGAACCCACCTTACTCAGATTTCACCAGTTTTATATGCACTCGTGTGTATGTGTTTAGTTCTATGCAGTGCTTTGTGTGTGGATTCCTGTGACCACCACCGTGAAGATATGCAACAGTTCATGACAAGGATCCAATCCCTGTGCCACCCTTTTCAAAGCGGCAGTCACCTCCCTTCCCACTCCCTCCCTGGCCCTGGCCCCCATTAATCTGTTCTCTATCTTCATAATTTTGTCATTTCGAGCTTGTTATATACATGGAATCATACGGTATGTGAAACCTTTGAAGACTGCATTCTTCTTACTCAACATCTTCTCCTCGAGGTCCAGGCAAGTTGTTGTGTGTGTCAGGAGCTTGTCCCTTTTCCGTGCCGAGTAGTATTCCATGCTAGGGATGCACTGTCCCTTGTGAGTTCAATTTAGGTTCAGCCAAATGAAACTGCTATTGTAAGTCAACATGCTCAGTTACACGTAGCTTAACCTTATGTCCGTATGCATGTATGTGCAGTGCTGCTCTGCATGTTGAAAACTTCATGTAAGACTGCACACATTCTTCGAAAACTTGTTTATTCGTGTAACTACATTTTGAGAATCACTTGTGTTTATTCTAGCTAGTTTGTTCTTTCTTCCCCTGCTCTATCGATGCCATTCTATAACTAAGCCGCCACTTCCTTTCCTCTTTTCCTTCTCTCCACTCACTGATTTAGCATACATTCTTCAGCACTGGCTAGGTGCTGGCCCTCTGCCAGGTGCGGGGCTGCATGAAAGCCTCCACCCTGGGGGCTTGGCGAAATCATCGACCACCTCTCCCCCAGCAACTCTCACTTCATCGCGTGGCTGCCTGAACATGACCGGTTTCATGCCTCTGTGCCTTTGCTCTGCTGTTCCTCCCCCCTTTCCTGCCAGGCAAACTCCTCCTTGATTTTTGAAGGGCCAGCTCAAATATCTCCGTGTTTTTGAAAATTGCTTCATGGGTCTGTCTCCCACTGAGTAAAGGAGTTCTTGTATTCTTTTCCTTGCTACGTTCTCAGGACCAGCACAGAGCCCAGCACACAGTAGGCACTTACTAATTGTTGGCTGGATGGTTCCATGCAGACCAGAGTGGTGGGGGAGGCGCAGGTTAATAGGTAAGAACAAGAGGCCTCCACATGGGCTAATTGTGGGATTAGCCAGAGGCTGTGGGAGGTTCCGATAACTCACGTCCCACCTGTACCCACACACGCGTGCATATGCTTCTTGCATAAAATTACTTTTATGCAGCGTCTTGGGTGGAGGTGGCATTGGGGATGGTAAAAGCCACCGCAGATAAACCCAAACCCTAGAGAGATTTAGAAGAGGAATATCTACCTACGAACCTGCCTGTTCCATCCCCACCCACCCCTGGCATTAGTGGCTTTTTGTGGGTCTCAGACCATCCTTGACCAGGAACTATGCATCCTCACCCTCAGCCCCCATCCTGCTGCTCAAAAGGACTTCCTGGACAGGCAGAAAGGGGGATCTGGAAGATGCTGGCACGGACCAGCTGTGTGGGGGACAGGACAGCGACTGGACATGGCCCTGGCTCACTCCCCCTTTCACAGTTAGGGCTCAGGCCCAGGGAGCCGATCCCAGCTCTGTGGGGTCACTGGCACTGATAATTCATAGGAAGGACAGAACCTTAAGCCCGTGTCCTCTGTTTCTCTGTCTATAAAATGGAGAGACTAGAGCAGATGACCTCTAGCTGAGAGAAAAAACGGCACTTTTCAACCCTTTTCGTCAAGTGGATTGTGGTGAGGGATGGTGCAATGAAGCAGAGGTGTGGTGTCTCAGTGGCAGCTGAGGGCCCTGGGCAGGAACAAGGCTCAGGACACCCTCCCTGCTCCCACGCCATGCAGAACTATGTCTCTGGCACCAGGGGCCTTAGAAGGCTCGCCACTCCTGAGCTCTTTGGTGGGACTGGGTTTGGAAGCAAAGGAAACTTTGGCACAGCTTCCCATTTCTGATGTTTGCGAAAATAAATTCGAAGCACTTTCCCTTTGTCTCTGTAGTATGGTGTAATGTTGTGATTTTAAAAATTATACATTTTATTTATTTACTTTAGTTTTTTAAAAAGATTTATTTATTTGAGAGAGAAAGAGAGCACGTGCAAGTGGGGGGAGGGGCAGAGGGAGTGGGAAAAGGAGACTCCTACGCAGACTCCCTGCTGAGCACTGAGTCGGATGTGGGGCTTCGTCCCACGACCCCAAGATCATGACCTTGAGCCGAAATCAAGAGTAGGACGCTCAACCGACTGAGGCACCTAGGCATCCCTCTTACTTTTAATTTTTTCTGTATTTTTATAATTAACCTTCTGGTGACTTCCAGAATTTTATGTCTTTTTCACAACAGTTTTTCTCCCGTCTCCACTAATGAAGGAAAATGACAACCCGGAGGACTTAAATAAAAATGCCTAGTTACTTATTAGCCCAAGAGAGCTGAGCCGTTGTGCCTTCAAAATACCCGGCATTTTATTACCCTCTGTGAAATATTTTAATTTTCCTCTAAAAGGATTTCAAACAACCCATGGTTGCAAATGGCAGAGCTGCCTCCTACGTAATTCAATTTGTTTCCATGAACTTGAGCTCCGAGATCGCCTACGTGTATTACTAAGAAGCAGGGGCCCACCCCTTTCCTCTTTTGATTTTTTTTTTTTTTTTTTTTTTTTTTTAGATCTTGACAAACCCAGAGGTTTTGCTATTGCTGTAGACTTTCCAAGAACCTTTTTATCTCTAGGGCTCCAATTCTGTAAAGGAGTTAAGACGTTGGTATTGTTTCAGTTTTAACGGACAGGAAGCAGGCCCGGGAGGGGAGTGACTTGCTCATGGTCACAGACCTGCAGAGGGGCAGCCCTGGGGCTGTCCCCAAGCCCCCTGGCTCCCAGTGCCACCTGGAAGCTTCATCCAGCACATTTCCCTGTGTGGTACTGAGCCCTTTGGGAATGCTGGATGCAGTCACCAGGCATAATTCATGTTCCTGTTTGGGGTGCTGGGGGGTGAATAGAGCCAAGAGCAAGGAATAATGACTAGAAGAGCTACAAGTTATAAATAACACCTGCAAAAATGAGATGAAAAAAAGTGCAGCTAGGAGTGCCTGGGTGGCTCAGTCAGTTAAGCATCCAACTCTTGATCTCAGCTCAGATCTTGCTCTCAGGGTCATGAGTTCAAGGCCCACACTGGGCTGCATGCTGGGTGGGCAGCCTACGTAAAAAAAAAAGCGCAACTAGCCTGAACCACCTCACACTCATTAGGATGGCTACTATAAAAAAACCAAGCAGAAAACAAGTGTTGGTGAGGGTGTGAAGAAACTGCAGCCGTGTGCGCTGCTAGTGGGAAGGTGACGTTGTACAGCCACCGTGGAAAACAGGATGGTGGTTCCTCAACAGATTAAACATGGAATTACCATATAATCCAGCATTCCACTTCTGGGTATATACCCAAAAGAACTGGAAGCAGGAACTTAAAAAGATATTTGTATATCCATGTTCATGGCAGCACTACTCGCAAAAGCCAAGAGGTAGGGGCAATGCACGTGTCCGTTGGCAAATGAATGGATACATAAAGTATGGTCTACACATACAGGGGAGTATGATCCAGCCTTAAAATGGAAGGAAAGTCTAACACATGTGACAACATGGATAAAACTGAGGGCAGTATAAGTGAAATGAGCCAGTCACAAAAGGACAGACACTGTATAATGTCCACCTGTATTATGTACCTAGAGGAGTCAGATTCATAGAAAAAGAAAGTAGAATGGTGGGCACCAGGGGCTGGTGGTGGGGGGAATGGGGAGCTAGTGTTTGATGGGACAGAGTTTCAGTTTGGGAAAGATGGAAAGTTCTGGGATGGATGGTTGGGATGGTCGCACAACGTGAATGTACTTAACGCCACTTGAAAACAGTTCAGATGATTCATTTGATGTTACAGGTATTTCATCACTAAAAAACCTCTAAAAAGTCCCCCCAAAGAACCCAGCAACGTAGCATGGTAAACTGTAGCACCTGCCATATGATGATGCTTCTAGGAGTGCGTAGAAAACAACTTTCTGCTGAGTGGCCGTCTCCGGTGGCCTAGCCTGCTGCTCCTCA